GCATAGTAGGAAGTTCTGTTTTAGCACATATCCTCAGGCTGAACACTGATTGAAGTCCTCCTAGAAGATCTGTTATTTAATATTCAATGACATCAATTAATGTCTTTTACAATGATTTATCAGAAATATTGTTAAAGCCTTGAATTTAGTTTGGTGCATCATTATATTTTTAAACTGTGTGCAGTGGACACCCACTCACCACGTCCAGCTCATATCCGAAATGCTGTGGGGAGTGAGTGTGTACTGAGATCAGCTGCCTGTCACTCATATTTAAATAATAACACCAGCTTAAGGAAGCTTGGTGAAGACTGAACTGACCCCAGTATTGCCCTGCATCACACTATAATATGGTTACTACAGGCAGCTAGGCATGATGGCAACCATTTTAAAAACATTATATATCCAGGAGGTCAGAATGAGGATGTTTGAATGGTGCGCTTTACACATCAACGAAGCCTCTTCCTAAAAGAAGAACGCTCCCTATTCCTTCCTCCCTATCTAGGTATTAAAATCTATCCCACCCTTCTTGCCTTCACCCTAAGGTTGCCAAAGCCTTCTTATTCAATGTATTGGACTTACCTAGGTCTGGTGCTCCACTGATCCTTGTTCTTGGATTGATTGTAGTGCTGGTCCCCACCAAAAACCTGGATCTGCCTGATTCCTGAATTAATATCATTTTCATCTTGGGGACACTTTGCAATTCTAATAGAGACCATATACTAAGTGCTTATGATGCTAGGAGTACTCAGTTGCTGGTTAATCAGATTAACTGTCTGCTCTGAAGGGCAGTCGTGTGGCCATCATTTCCAACATGGCATCAATAATTTAGACTGATTCCAGCAAGAAGGATAAGGGACAATGAATCTATACAAGTCATCCCAAATGGTTCTGTTGTGAACCATCATTTACAAGGCCAGGGAGAAGTCCTAACAATCACCCTGCCTGGGTGGGGAAAGGCGTTTTGCTTGCCTCAACGCTCCCCTCTAAACATCAGGTGAAGTAAACTCTCCCTCTCCAATAAAGTCTTCACCCCATTGTTGCTCCACTCTGCCACCAGACCACTCAATCAGATGGACTTGTATATATGATTCTGGTCAATGCTGCTACCGGCCCTGCTGGAGTGAGACAAATAAATCCCACTTCCAGCCTCAGGGAATTAAATGGTATGGGAAACTGTGGCATCTGGAAAATCCTGCTTTTAGTCAATATTACACTTTATTATGCATAACAACTGGTTTACACTCCACAGAAGGTAATTTCATTGGATCTGAATTTCCTTAGACTTTCTCCTGCTGAACTTACATCCCTGTGAAATGTGACAAAGATCCTATTCAGACTTATAAAGTCAGACTTTCAGTCACACTAATGAAGATAAAACCTCAGCAAGGTTTGAGGAAGTACAGCTTTGGAATCGGACAGTTCTACAACCCAACATTTTTTTTTCAAATCTGCTTCTGTGCAGTCATTTTAGTGCCTTTACTTAAGGGCATGATGAAAATTCCTAGCACCGTACTGAATTTTTTTATGTTTAGTATTTGTTGTAAATGTATGAAAGACTCCTTTAACCCAAAAGTGTCAAGTCATGTAACAAAATTGTTTGAAGGGAAATGAATAATCAAACTGAATTTTTCATATGCATCACTTTTTGTAGCTCTGAAAAAGAACCTGCTACTTGGCATTTTCCTACATTTTCTAAGCAGACTGCATGACTGTTTCCCTTGGGCATTTTGACACAGTGTAATTTCACACCAGCCAACTGGACTATAAGACTGGATTTAACTAGGCTGTGGCCACTTCGTATAAGTTTAGTACTCTAATAAACTCTAAAAGTAACATTCAGTTAAATCAGTTGATACCAGCTGTTTGAAGCATTTCAGTTAATGGGCAGTGGCACCACAATGTTGTCCATGTTGTTAATATTGCCCATGTTGTTAATGCCACAGACTTCCTAAAATAAAACTGATCTTTTAAGGTCATATCTAAAGTTCCCTGCTTATCAAAGAAGATCGGAAAGATAGCACACAACTTTTAGAAGATCTTCAAAAAATAGGAAGTGAAGTTTGATGGAAGCTTATTTAGGGCATCAACCGAGAGGGCAAAGTTTAAGATGTTTCCACTTCCATTCATAATTCAAGTTAATGCCTAGCACAATCCTAAGCATCATTTATATTTAATAATATTGTAGTTAAGTTATTTCTTTTTTTGCTTTTCTTCTCTATAAAACTGAGCTTTCATGATGACCCCACCAGAGATTTTCTTGCTGCTAACCATTAACCTCTGGTTGCTATGTCAACTTCTTAGCTGTTCTCTGAAATCCTGTTATTGTGCCCAATAGCAGCTCATGAAAAATAATTTAAAGTCAAAGAAACTAAGCTTTGGCCATTGGGAAAAAAAAAGTTGGCTTCATTCTTGGCAACAACAAACTATCTGGCAATCTGATACAGGGCTATAAAGTCACTCAGTTTTAAAGGTGAAAAAGCTGTCCTCCCCACTGTTGCCATACAGTTTGTTATGGATCTTTTTCCACCTCTCGAATAACTGCAACATGAAGTGTTTGGAGAAGAAATGTTTTAACCACTTAACTGTTATGACCTCCAAGACCAAGCACAATACATCCTTTTCTTGTAATGAATGCAAAAGAAAGAATAAATGTGTACTTATTATTTGAAATGTACTTACAATAACACCTACTCACACATTCATGCAAGTTGCACACACTAAGGAAAGGTGGTTACAAATTTGACAGCCTTCACTTATATTTCAAAAATGCCCAAGAATTCACTATTATACTTGCTTTTCAAGGTGATAGTTCGAAATGATGCAGGTCTGATGTTCTTTTTTATGTTCACTGAATAAAATGGCTTACTCCTTGCAAAAGCAGGTTTTCAGACTTTGCTAAAGTGAGATGAAGTTGTGTCTTTGTGTTTTGCAGATCTTTAAATAAAATTATATTCCACTTCTTTGCCTGCTGGTGTAATTCCAGGCAAGTTCCTTTCCTTATTGAGTGAATTCTCCTCTCTCTGTGTGATCTCATCATAGAATCCCTACAGTGGGGGGATAGGCCATTTGGCTCAACAAGTCCACATCACCCCTCTGATGAGCATCGCACCCATAACTCTACTTTTTCCCCTGTAACCCAGCATTTCCCATGTCTAATCCACACCCCTAGACACTATAGCATGGCCAATCCACCCAACACACACATCTTTGAATAGTGGGAGGAAAACAGAGCACCCGGAGGAAACCCGCGCAGACATGGAGAGAATGCACAAACTCCACACATACAGTAGCCTGAGGGTGGAATTGAACCTGGTGCTGTGAGACAGCAGTGCTAACCACTGAGCCACCATGCCATCCATAATAGCACTCCATTTCTCAACTGAGAATCTGAAAAATGGTTCAAAGCCAATTCCACAGCATCTTATGCACTTACCTTGAGCACAGGAAAGAATAAGCCTCTCTATTCTGAAGCACGGGATTGCCAAGTTTGATTTTTAAAAAGGTTTATTACTTGTGATTTACTTGCCAAACTTGCAGACACTTTGAAAAGAGTGGACCTGGAAAATAAAATCTTGGACAAACTTTTCCAGTTCTATTCCCCCAATCCCCAATTCAAAAAAATAGCAACAGTAATTCCTCAGGGAATCTGAAAATTTATTGTTAATGTAAAGAAAAGCAAGTACGTTAAACTAACCAGGGTTTAGTTTAATTCTGTACAATAGTTGCACAGCACAGTCCCATGGACTCTGAACATGGTTGGAATTCAAGCTTGTGAATGACAAGGTGGAACACTAAC